TACAATTACTTACCATCAAAAAAGAAAATTCTTGTAGTACACGTTGTTCACTAAAATCATTGAATAAACTATAAAAACCCAGAAGCTGTAATGTACACTTAAGTCAGTCTTTATTTTTCAAAATAGTGGGGTATATTCATTGTTAAATCGTTTCATGGGTTCAAATTAGCTGTCGAGCGAGGCAAAGGCACCTACTATTTTTAGTATTTCACAATTGTATCTTTTCGAAAATCTTTCATGGAAGGATTTGAGCTAATTTACAACAGGGGTTCTATTATAAATGTATTCAACAAATTTCGAAAACGTTTTTCAAAGGGATTTTAACCCCTGATGAAATTGAAGATTTACAAGCATTTTAGGTCAGAATAATTAGTCAAAGCTAGATTAGGACACCCCATGGTTTTCACATTTCTCTGTCCTCTGTTCATCACCAAAGATCTATATCTCTACCTGAATTAATTTCCTAACCGGATAATTCCCTTTTTATAGTTTGTCTACAGTAAGAATCCCCTCCCCCCGTCACAAAGTCTGAGGCCGTCTGCTGCTATGTAAACAAGAATAGCGCATTTCAGGGAGGGTAGCTTCTCTACATTCTAACACAATCATCATCAGCAGCACGACATCCCTTTGTGGGCCTGGGCCTTCCTCAGAAGCTTTTCCCCTTCTCCCAGCAATTGATTTCCAGTTCTTTACTTTTAGGATAGCGAATTCCTCATGCAACAGTCTTTCCATCTCTTTTTGGGCCGCCCTCTTGGCCTTTTATTGGAGGGGGTTGCATTAAAGACTTTAAATGCTGTTCGTTCTGGGCTCATTCTTACTACATGCCCGGCCCATCTCATTCTACTTAGTTTAATAGATTCAATGATATCACTATTAAAGATCTTATATATTTCAAAATTACATCTTTTTTTCCAGTTGGGTCACTGCGGGTCAAGAAGGGTTTAGGAGCAGAGTTATATGGATGGTGCTTTCGACACTAATTAGTGCTGCAAGTCGCGTATACTTCCGGGTTACTGTTTCCGGCGTATTTTAAAGCCATTTGGCTCACAACGTGATCGTGTTTTAAGATTCCTGCAAACGTGGTATTTGAATACTTATTACTAAACTTAGTCTTGTTCCTCGAACAATATGCTAACACTAACGTAAGATGGTGCACATCTTGCAACATGAACAAACAGTAATAAACAAATGGAAAGAGGCCAAATTAAGACTGCCAAAAAAGCGAGTTATTCAAAATCTAGCAATCATGTCACCTTTTTTAACAATATATCTCTAAAAAACTAAAGCAAATTTTCACTTCAAACTCACCAGAATTACATAACAACATTAATATCTTATGAAATATGGCCGATTTGAACTCAGAAATTATCTAATTTATTTTTTTTTATTGAAAACAAAATTTTCCGTTTGAAAATATCGTCTGGCAGAATAACATGTAGTAAGCAGCTGCAAACTTTCTAACCGGAACTAGAGCAGATTGATACATCTAGAGATTGTTATTGTTTACATTTCTACTNCCATTTGGCTCACAACGTGATCATTGTGTTTTAAGATTCCAGCAAACGTGGTATTTGAATACTTATTACTAAACTTAGTCTTGTTCCTCGAACAATATGCTAACACTAACGTAAGATGGTGCACAGCTTGCAACACGAACAAACAGTAATAAACAAATGGAAAGAGGCCAAATTAAGACTGCCAAAAAAGCGAGTTATTCAAAATCTAGCAATCATGTCACCTTTTTTAACAATATATCTCTAAAAAACTAAAGCAAATTTTCACTTCAAACTCACCAGAATTACATAACAACATTAATATCTTATGAAATATGGCCGATTTGAACTCAGAAATTATCTAATTTATTTTTTTTTATTGAAAACAAAATTTTCCGTTTGAAAATATCGTCTGGCAGAATAACATGTAGTAAGCAGCTGCAAACTTTCTAACCGGAACTAGAGCAGATTGATACATCTAGAGATTGTTATTGTTTACATTTCTACTGCAAGAACTGCATTTCTAGAAAAAATGCAAACAATATTTCAAATAATAAAATATAAAGCCTGGCAATAATAATGAAAATTTTGTGGTATATTAGGAAGTATTTTATAAATGTAGAAAAATTCTGACCCGCATGAAGATTTTCAAATACATATTACTTTTTTTCTTACAAATAATGTTACCTTGGTAATTGTCAGCATTCGTTTTCTGAAAATCGTCTTGACTACGTCGGTTGACATTCTAATATGTATTTCCAACAATATCTAAGAATATTGTTTTGCGATGTTGAACATACATTATAATAAAGTTCATTTTTATATCGTACAATATTTCGCTATGACATCGTACAATGTGCGAAGATGTGCTTTTACGATATCAGTTTTTCAGATATGTGCTACTTGAGTTTACAAGCTTGCTATGATGCTACCCAAAAATAATTGACGGCACTATTTTACACAAATATACCAAAATAAGGGATACACTCAAAACATATCTAACATTACACTTTATTTATACTGTGGTATTAATTTTGATAAATTTGTTTTAGGCTCTCGAACGATTAGAATTAAAAAATTATAGAAAATTGCTATGAACGGTAAAACTACGCATAAATTAAAGCACAATTGATAAAAATAACTTTTTTCCAGAATATTAGGCCGGTTCACAGATCACTTAAGTGATCCGTAAGGATAATAAAAGCAAATGAATACACCAGAAGTTTTCTAAATTTCTTCCGGTTTTAGGTAGTTTGTGATTGTTTGCATTCAGTCAACCATTTATAAGAATCGTCATTTGAAGACTTAAGAATCGCTATTTGAAATAAAAGAAAAAAATATATAATCGTTTTAAAACACTTCTTACCATTTCAGCAATGTACCAACTTCGAAATGAAAACGTAAATGACACTTTGTAAAATGAACTTAATGTTACTGCTCTTACAATATGCTATGGCATATTGTTAGAGTAGTGTGAACACTAACGTATGATCGTGCACGATTTGCAACAAGAACAAAGAGTTATAAAAAGTAAAAAGAGGCCAAATCGGGACGACCAAAAAAGTGAATTCTTTCTAAATCGAGCAACCATGCACCCTTTTTTTAAAAAAAAACAAAACAAACATCCATAGATAACAAAAACAAATTTTCACGCCAAACTCACCAGAATTACTTAATATTTTATAAAATACAGCAGGTTTGATCTCTGAAATGATATACTTTATTTCTTTCATCAAAAAAATATTGTCTTGAAGAATAAGCTGTAGTAAGCAACTGTATACGTTCTAACAGGAAGTAGAGCAGGTCAAGAGCTCGAGATTGTTGTTGTTTACTTTTATAATGAAAACTTCCCCTATAAGGAAGGGCCAATACATGGAACCGGTATTCTCCCCACATGACGTATTTGAGCTGTGGGATCGCGAATAGATCTTTGGAAAGATTCCAATAAAATACTACTCGGGATCGCAATGCTCGAGTATGCCATCTGGAGAGAAGACTGGTTCCATGTCTAGACTCTCTCCCCTTCCCACTTGTATTAATCGTATTTATTCCTTTTATTTTAAAAGGCCGAACTCCGACATATGCTCTAGCCAATGCACGATTTTACAAGTCGCGCAAAGTTTATGCTTCAAATCTCTTGACGTCACCTAAAATCGATAATACATGCAACTTTGATTTCGCTAAACTGAATGCTGAAAAACAATGCTGTCCACCCTGTAGAAAAACCTACTGCTAGGTAGAAATGTCTAAAAGTCAAATGCAATCAGCAATCGTGGGGAAAAAGCGCTTCAGATACTTGTAACAGAAACACAATTTATTGTGCATTCCAGATATCTAGTTTGTACTGAGTAGTTGATTGAACCAAAGTACACTTATCTTGGCCAAGGGAAATATTTTACAAAATATTTTAAGTCTATTGTATTGTAATTTTATTGCTTGTCATAAATTACTATTGTTTATTACCTGAAATGATTTGTACTGCTATTAAAGTGGTTTGAGAGACTCAACATAGCGTTAGTTTGGTTTCTTTATAGGCTTTTTGTTGGTATGGTAACACTAGCGAACTAATAGCTTGTTTTCGGTTAACAAAAGTGCACCAACCTTTTTTAAAGAACTCAATATATTCATAAATCATATCTTTCTAGATTAAAAATTTCATTCACTCTTTTTGGGAAGTGTTTTAAAGGTCGTTTATTTTAGAGTTAAAATATGTGATATTACTCACATTCTTCTTGATTTTAGTTTTGTTCAGTTTTTTGAATGTGTTACTAAGTGAAAATGGTTGTTCATAACCAGTTAAATTCCATACACTTAAAATGGAAATGAAATTTTTTAAAGAAAGTGGATAAAAGAATAACATCAAAATCACTAATAGCTAAACTATTCAATTATTTTAAAGACAGAACCATTCCATTTCGCTTTTGGGAAGCAAAATATCAAAATCTAGAAAAAGCACTGAATGACTAAAGTTTATGCACAATATTAAAGACTTCATTTGTAAAATTTAAAGGTATTTTTGAACTGTAATGTACTATATCAAATAATACTTTATTGACATAAAAAACTAATTACTTATGTCATTTTCATAATTCTTTTTAAAATGTAGAATGTTTTTGACAAAATAAAGTATTTATGAAATATAAGTAAATAGTTGTACTTATTTTACGTAATCACGATACAGCGAGCTCAGGCTACAACGTCCATTTTTGTTTGGATCACAGGGGTCATATCAAGTGCATTAGTTTTGTTACACAACAAATCTTAGTCGTTTTGGAATACTTCCTGTCTTTTTTTCTTTTTTTTACAGTTCAAAGAAATATGCCACACAAAATAAAATTTAAGTTGTGGATTATTCTTTTTTTTTAGCAGTTTGTTTCCCCATTATAAAAAATAGCCCAGTATGTATGTATTTAAAATGCCCTGATTACAAACCAAACAATACTAAAAAACGTCTTGATTTTATCTTGAACCATTCTGAGGTCTGACAGAATCAATGATCACTCAAGATGAAATAGAAAAACTTTATTTAAATATTCAATCGTTTTAAAGACAAAATTAAAATTTATGTCATACATTTATAAAGAATTAATATTATATGCAAGAAATTCATAAAAATACAATCTAACATTACATAGACTCCTGCACTTAAATTAGCTCAGTGAGCTAAAATGAATAAGGCAGATTCTATGATTACAATAAATAAAAAATTAGTACTCTTCATTTAAAACTCAAAATTCATCCAAACATTCAATATAAATTCGTATAAAGATAAATTTAAAAATAGTTAGAACTTATACAAAGGTAAAATGCAATAATAAAAAGAAATTCTTGGTACATAAAGAAGTTCAATTCTTCCTACGCAGATTATATCGTGGAATCTTGGGAGACGCTAAATAACAAAGATAAGAATATTTATAGACAATAAAATAAAATTTAAAAAAAAAAAAATAATTAAAACAAAAACCTAAGGGGTCTAGAGGTTTTGATCTTCTCAGAAGAGATGAATAATTTTGAACATTTTGATGCAACATTTACGTTTCTGCCCAATTTTGTTTAAAAGATAGTCAAATTTAAAATATCTGTAAATCATTAAATAATTTTATCAATTTGTAACAATAGGGATTGGTATGAAAACTTTGAGACCATAACAAAGCAAATAGACATATTTAACAGTCAGATATAATAGGAATAAGAAGCATATATAGTTTAAAAATTGTTCAACGCCTAAAAGCTATTTAACTTTTAATGCGCTTCCCATTGGGGTGAGCGTAGAAAATCTCATATCTATTAATTTAAAGTATTTAAACAGTACGCTGTATTTAATTAAAAACATTTCCTTTAAAATCACCCCCTAAAGACATCTGAAAGTTATTTGAATATAATATCGAAGATTGTGTATAGAAAAATATTAGAAGTCTTAACAAGAGTTAATAAATTGTGTCTTGTGTGGAAACAATTGTATCTCTATTAGGGTCTAACTAAAACTATCAATTGTTTAACACTGCATAATCTGGTTCCCTTTTCCTTCTTGAATTATAAACAATTTAATGTTACTTATTAAGTAACATTCTGAATAAAAAGCTGGTACATAAAAGTAAAAAATTTATTTTTAAAGTTGCTATATTCAACAACTCAATATTTTTCAGGTAAGATAATTTCGTAAAGCTTAAAAATGCTACTGGAGTCAAAATCTAGTGGGCACCTTTTTTTCTTTATAAGAATTTTTTTTGGCAGGGGGGGGGTGTTATTTTCTATTGAAATGGATATCTGAGGTTGATTGTTTTTGCAATCATACTAACACAAACTTTAATCGCTTAATGATAACAAAATTTTGAAAAAAAAAAGGGGTTGTAAGTGCTTATTTTTTCATTCAAGACATATAGATAACTAAAACCATATGTATGTACAATATTTTTAATCAATGACAAGTGCTGGCATCTACTTTAAAATAAACTATCTCTAAACACATTATAAATAGTATGGTACTGTATTAGGCCATAATTCATATTATTCAGAAATATTCTTTTTCTCTATAAATGATAATTTTTTATTTCCTTTCTATGCCATTCTTACTCTTCGTTCTGACACATAACCCAATATGAATAAATAAAATAAAAACTGAAATAGCATGATAAAGCATATTTCTAATATTATACAGAGATGCCAATTTGCTTCGGACAGCGAATATATATTTTCGAGTGGTAGTTTATTAATTGAGACTCTTGGTTAAATAAATTCAGTTTATTAGGTTTTTATCCACCACTATTTTTAAATAATTCAGAGGCTTATATAATTCGCCACTTTGTTATAGCTAAGTAATGCTAAATCTCTTAAAAAGCAAACAAAATTAGTTAAACATTTGCAAACTTTAGTTAGTAGTTACTTATCACTTTTTTAAAATTATTTTGGCATGTCCGGAGCAGTTGACATCTCTGATTATATAATACTGATGACATTTAGCACAAGCTTTTATGTCATATTTTGTTTAAACGAAAAAATAAAACTTTGTTAAAAAATTATTTTATTCAGTAAAAATATTAAAATCTATATATGCCTGTCTATTGCATGTAAGCTTCATGTGCTTGGCACCGGAATCTCAGAAGGATACCACTGGCAAAGAAGGTTGCACAGAAAAACGTGAAAGGAATGCCAATATCTTCTGTTTTGTTGAAGTTAATGTCACAGATGAAACTGAGAAAATTTAAGTTTAAAGGATAGAAAATATATAGATTTGGCTAGAAAATAGACAGATCGCAAGCAGAATCTTGGAGAGAATCAAGGCTTCACTAACATCAAGATTTAGTCTTTAAAAAATGGGAAGTACGGAAGATAAGACTTATTTGTAAAAACAGATTGTTGGAAAAAGGATAATTACTACATTATTTATTTATCATACAGCTCACCATATAATAAACCATATTTTAATGCTGTAAATACTTATAGTACAAATAATGCTATAAAAATAACAATGGTTGATTTTTAAGGATATAGATATAAGGATAGAATATAAATATAATAACTCAGCTGGTCGAGAAATAGAGTTTTATAGATACTCATCAAATTAACTCTTGTATCAAGATTTCAATTGTCCTTTATACATGCATTATAACGTAACACTTTCAAACCCTGATGTAAGACGGTGTCTTCTGACTTAACTCCATTGTTGCCAAGATAATCGAGAGAATTATCACCGAGAGACTTAGTTTTTATTTAGAATACCATAGTCTCTTAACAGATATGAAGAGTGAATTTAGAAATTAGTATTCTACAACTAAACAAGCCATTAGATTGCCACAAGCAATTAAAGGTAGTTTGGATAGAAGTGAAATCTCAGTGGCAGTTTCTGTTGATTTCATAGTAGCATGTGATCATATTTGAAGAACTAAATTTATTTATAAGTTAAAAACCATTGGAATCAGTGGGAAAATACTCCATTTAATCAAAAATGTTATTACTCAAAGATTTTGTACAGTTTACGATTTGGAGTCAAAGATTTTGTGCAGTTTGCTAGATCAGAAAACTCAAGTTTAAATTCATTATGGTCTACAACAGGTTGTGTGACAAGCACAAGACATTTAAATGTTTACATTAATGATCTCCTTGAGAGAATTAAAAAAAAATTAAGCTATTTAACTAGGAGTGAAATTTGATAGAAAGCCTAGCTAGCAGAGACATATTGGCAATGTGATTGATAGAGCTTGAAAAAGGCTATCAGTGATTATAAGACTCACAGGAGCAAAATTGGGTTTTCAAAAAAGAAACTTTAAAAAGTCTTTCAAAATGAAATTTTAAGGGTTGTTACTGAAGCTGTGAAAACTACTCCAGGGCAAGCAATGCTTGCCCTTACAGGCAATGAACCACCTGAAGAAATTATAGAGAAAAGAGCTTTAATATTATATGAAACATTTATCAGATTACCATCAACAGACTTATGGAAAAACTACAATATTTTTAGACCTCAAAGATTGCAAACTAAAAACGGATTCTAACAGAACGTTTAAAATTGAAATATGATTATGCCCTTTTGGATGTTAGTTCAGAAAAACTAATAAAACCAACACCCCTGTACTTCAAGGATCGTTCACAAATTAATGTTACTTGATGCACATAATAACGAAGTCATCATCAAGCAAAGTTGAACTAAATGCAGCTACTATGGAGACAATTTATTCCAAGTATCAAAGAATATCTGGCTTCACATATACACAGATGAATGGAAAATGTTTGACAAAGTAGGAGCTGGTCATTCTATACCTCTCTTGGTTCATTTCAGATCATGGACTTTCGATGGAACTGGAGGAGATTAGAATTACAACTGAAGAGATTACTATTAAAACAAATATAATCAAAAACATTGTCATTTTTTTAGTTGCAGTCATCCAAGCTATTTCCACACACAATGTTTACAGAATCGAAAATTATTGAATCTTGTAGAAGAATTTTTAGCAAACTTTTAGCCACAAAGGAGATGAATTTTGTTTTGCAATAGATACAAGCACAGGTTGGAATAGCGGGGAAAAATGTACTGATAAACTAGCTAAAGGGAAATAGAAATTTTGCAATTACATAATAGTGGTATATCATTAACATCAATAAAAAGAATAATAAAAATTCCATAAGGAAAAATTATAATGCATAATAAACTTTAAAAACTAAGAATAAGAAGTGGGGATGTTTGATCTGTAATATCCTAGACCTTCCTAGTTGTGGCATTTTGTGTGGTGACCAAACAAGATTGACTCGTCAAACACTTATATCACATTAACATTCATAATAGTCCCGTGAGCATTTTGTGAAAACAGAATTTCAAAATAGACAAAAACGATTTAGCAGAGTGCCCATCTATCTTTAAGAGATAGAAAAGTGTGCTAGTGTTTTCTATCTTTAAGAGATAGAAAATCCGCATAATGGATATTGGGAGGCAAGAGAGATGATGTAGTTGATGTCCAGAGACTGATTTTCTCTTGTTTTAAATGTTTGATTGCTTTTATTTTAATGAATTAATTGTTATTGTTATGAAGTTTTTAACTGTTTTATCTTTCTGTAATTTTTTTTTATGGCTATAATCTCATGCATCTGCGATGCATGGAGGTCAATGATGTAGAATCAATTGCTTTTGTAATAAGTATAAAATATTGTAATAGTGTAGAAATATATATTTTAAAATTATTAAATTATTCAGAACTTATAATAGCTAGTGGGTACAGCTGTATTGTTCTAAAAAAAGGAATGATTGAAACAACTATGGGTGTAGGAGGTAGGTTTCTTCTTAGTGAGACTATCAAAAGGATTTGAAATGACTAAAGAAGATCATAAGCACTGAACAAAAAAAAAAATTTCATTACAGAGGTAAAGAAATAGCTCTGTTTAAACAAAAACAAAATTTTTTTTTTTAAAAAATATAACCCCGAGTTCAGGTTATTTTCATTAGGTTTAATTGGGTATTATTTTGGGAATGAGATAGGGAGCAAATACATAGTATATCGTAAAGAAAAATAAATAATTTTATTACTATATCTATAACAGCATATAAGCATTAATATTATTTGATAACTAGCCAAAATTTTTCCTCTCTCAATTTCAATAAATTAATTTAATTTCATCTAAACTCAGTGAGGTACAGAATAAAGAACAACAGGGAATGTCCAATGAAGGATGAGCTTATGGACTTAGTCAGGAAACAGCCACTGTCTGAGCCAATCAACGAAGAAGATATAAGTGACTGGATAAACGCTGACAATAAGGAAATTATTATAATAAAGAAAATGAATCTAGTGATGATCTCTGTGAAATCTCTCAGGGACTAAAAAATAATCAAAAGTGCTATTGAATATATTAGAAAAAGAAAAAGCAATACCAGCAATTTTGTTATATCTATAAAAAAAATATAATAATAAAAAAATGGGGAATCACAGCAGCAGGAAAACATCCAAATAACATAAAACAATTAAGAACTTGAAGTAAGAACTTCTTCGCTTAATAACAATATGGATTGGAAGTAGAGTATATGTAAGTATTATTTTTGCCTTTAATATACAGTATAGGACCCCAAATCCGGCACTAACGGGACCGACGAAATTCAGTATTTCGGAATTTGCCGAATTTCGGATCTCTTTCGGAAATTCCAATATGGCACCCATATATTACATTAATTCAATTATACTGCTAATTTCAGAAAATTAATTCATTCCAATAAATTTAGTTAAGTTTTGATTGTAGTAGGTGAATTTAAAACTGTCCCACCTTAAGAAATCTCATTAATTAAAATATAATCTATAGAATAGAAATAACAATACATATATATTTCTTATAAGCTAACAACAAATAATGATTAAAAAAAAACAAGCTGACAACTAAATACAATTAAAAAAAAGCTATCAAAAAAAAAAAGAGCAGTTAATAACTAATAAAAAAATAAAAGTATAATTTACATCAAATAAGAAAAGCAGCAAAAGGGATAGAACTCAGTTTATATCCCATGTGGTAGCTTCATTATCAAAAGGGTGTGGCTAATTTATGGTCAAACTGGAGAGGGAAATGTGGAAACCTTAGAGGAGATATTAGGGTAGATGGAGCCAGTCTATTGTTTGGGCTCGGAAAACTCTGTTCAAAGATGGGGGTTACCTTTTTGGCGAAAAATTCATAGCTGGCGTTCGCATCGTAGAGGAATATTTTTAAGAGTACCTAAAGATTTTTCTCTCTTTTTTATTATTTTATTTTGAATGCCTTCCCAATTTTATTCGTTATTGTAAGAAATAAGTTTTCTAATAAAAATACATTATAATATGTGCGCTACATTTAATTATTTGCTTTTAATTGCTTAATCATAAAAAGCTAATAACATATTAGTTAAGCATGATTTTATCAAACAATGAAATAAAAATAATGATTTTTTGAATCGAAGATACATTTGAAAGTATGCAAAATATAAAGAAACAATTGCAAATGATTATGTGTATTAATTATTTTTGTCAAAAGGTCATAAGAGATAAGATTCTTTGTCTATCAAATGAATCCACAGTAAAATGCTTAGAGCATAACACACTATTATTGGATGCTGTGAATTCTTTTCTGTGGACATTTACTTTCCATACTTTTTGTTTTATCTCATCTTTAGGAAATCTACGTCAGTTAGCTATTAATACTGGGTGGTTTTAAAATTATTATTAGACAAATAAAATAATAAAGAAACATGCTGAAAAATAAGTAGAATTTTTCTTAAAATTAAATTAAAGTTGAAACCATTAACTGAAATGATTTGAAAAAATCTCATAATACACAACACATTTAGTATTTGACTTTTTAAAATCCAGAATATGTTTGAATAAAAAATTAGGAATTTTATATTTGAGTAAAATAATTATGTAAATTGTTACTAAAAAACAAAGTAATTTAAAAGAAAATGTGTGTCTTCTATTAGTACAAAGAAGAATTATTAATTCAGGTTCAGATCGATGGGTCAGCATGTCCATGAAGTAAATGCGGGCGATACGCAATGCTAACCACATTGTCCCTATTATGACTGTTGATCATTAAATTGTGCTAGCTTAACCTTCATGACTTTCAAGAACTCAACGGGCTATTGTGGGAATGCTTTGCTTTAAGAATTGTTAATACTTTACTTATCTTTTATTTTTTCTTAATTTTTATTATAAAAATATTTAGTTAAATTTTTAAAACATATTTCCCTAACATTTATACATACTTTACAATGAAAGCCTTTTATAATTAATTTTAATCAATGCATAATTTTTCTTATTTAGATTACGTATAATAATTAAAAAAATTTAACAGGACAACTGAAATGGCAATTTTTAATTTTTTTATTAATATATATATACATATATACACTATTCAATTTATCTTTTGCATAACTGTTTTATGGTTTTAGTGTTATTCATAATTTTTCTGATAAAAACAAAATATTTTGTTTTATTTTTAAAATGAATATTAATATTTTTACATGCTGCACAATTTGGAATTCTAGTTTGCCTGCCTATCGATAATAATTTATTTCAACCAATTCATACAATTAAAATTTTAGTGAGTTAACATAACATAATAATTTAAATTAAAATAACAAATTTTGGTTTTGTTATTCGTCACTTTATTTTATTTAAAAAAAGTATTACGAAACTCCATATAAGAACATACTATCTACCTGTTGTTTGAAATATTGATAGTTTTCGACTTAATTAACATTTTATATTAAAA